GAGTGAATAAACCATTTTGCACAGCCCAGCCTCTGATGACTATAGCCCCAGTTGTCACCTGATTGTTACCACATAAAACATTTTAAAGGAGAACTACCCAACAGACCCCTGTTAGCTCACAGATTAGTGAGAGAAGTTAAAAAAAATTATTGTTTTAAGCCACAAAGTTTGTTATACAACAATAGATACCGAACAGTCACACAAGAGCTAAAACAAGGAAACAAAATAAAAATACTATATTTGAACTGTATTCACACTATAATGCATATAAAATGCACATATTCCTTTGAATATGCCAGTTGTCATAGTGAGTTCATTGCTAACCTGTGTTTTAGGCAGAACAAGACTTAATAAACATGTTTGTCCTGGCTTGGAATATATATACTTCATTAACTTTGATTCTTAAATAACTTGAATAGTTTCATGGATGAAGTGTTATACTTCCAAAGGATGATTTCATTGTTCGAATCGCATACTGAGACTTTATGCAGCCTACAATTTTTCTTGCCACACTAAAATGTTCATCCATTTTCTGGTCTCTTTCATTTTTCTCCTTATAAAAGAGAAGCAATCATTTCCTCTTTATACAAGTGCCAAGTGCATTCAACACATCAAATTTTGCTTTTTGTTGCCAATAGCTTTTTTTTTTTTTTGTACCAAGGATTGAACTCAGGGGTGCTTAACCACTGAGCCACATAACCATCCCCCCAGCTTTTTTTTTTCAACTTTTTAAATTTTGCGACAGTGTCTCACCAAGTTGCTTAGGGCCTCACTGAGTTGTGAGGATGGCCTTGAATTTGTAATCCTCCTGGTTCAGCCTCCTGAGTTACTGGAATTACAGGAGTGTGCCATCATGCTCAAAAGCATTGTTTTTGATTTTGGTTAGAGATGTCTTATTTGTATGAAGGGGAATGAATATAATCCAGTATGATTATTTTAGACCTTATATTTTTTTCTACTTGGACAGAAAAGCACCCCTGAATAAAATCATACTTTACTTTTGCTTTACAAAAATGTAGTTTTTGGAGTAGGATAGGAACTGTCCAGCTCCACCTAAGGTTGTTGTCTGAGGTGATCAGATTTCTCTCAGCTTTATTTCTATTTCTCATACACCTGTTGTTTCTTATAAATAAACTGAAACAAAGAATTTGAAGACATTTGTCCTCATGTGTTGATATAAATTATTGGTTCGTGTGTAATTATTATTGATTGGGGTTTTCTGTATTGAATTGGGCACTCAGAAGAAAACATTTGAACATAATTAGAGACAGAAAAATCGGTATAATGGCATACATATGCATTTGCTCACAAAATGGTGAATATATATATATATATATATTTATAAAAATTGGGGGTTTCTTTGTAGGTAACCTCTTTTCTGACCACTGAGAGATATCAGAAAATCTATCAATTTTTGAAAACATCAAATGTCAATTCTTATTCTTGCTTAAGATTTATTGAATAGCATTTATTATGTGACTTCAAAAAGAATATGTTGACAAGGAATGATTTTTCTTCACCTCAATGTATTTCTTTCATTTAGTTAATTTTATTTCAACTTAGTATTTATAATTGTAACTCTAGATTCATGCCTATAAAATCCTGGCGTCTCTTAATCTTTGTCACTAGAAATATTCTATTATTTTTCAAAGCTCCATAAGATCTTCCCAAACAACATACATTTCAAATGTTGGCACCACCCTTGACATAATTTAATTTGTATATAACAATTCTATAGTTGAGGAATTTTCATTTTTCTGCTAACACCCATGACAGGACATTGTGTGGTGATACTCTCACATTCATGGCACACAACATATGCATAGCATATCTATCCTATGGCTCCACATATTTCCATGGACTATATGGTATTTCATACAGTTGTAGGATTGACCTTGAAGCTATTTCAATTTATTTTTGAAAAGTAAATCATTCACAGATTGTATTATTTTAATTATTATTGGAAACATGTTACTTGCTCAAAACCTATTAATAGTAAGATGTGATAAAATTTCACTATGAACTGTTGGAGAACCACTATGTTACATAATTTTTTAAAATTTTACATTAATCACCTAACTTGTTGACATATATTGTTCATAACATTCTCTTATCCTTATAATGTTTACAACATCTATTTCCCTTTTGTTCCTACCATTAAAATTTTGTGTCATTTCTTTCCTTTTTAAATAAGTCTCACTAGAAGGATTATTGACTTTTATTGATCTTTTTCAAAAATAAATGGCCTTTGGTTTCATTGATTTTATTGATTATTTGGCTTTCTTCACTTTCATTGATTTTCACTTATCTTCATGATCTCATTCTTTTTGTTTATGTTGAATTTAATTTTGTTCTAGTTTCTTATGGTTGAAACTTACACAGCTGTTTTTAGTTCTTTCTAATCTAAGCATTTTAATGCTATAAATTTTTCTCTAGTCACTGTTTTATCTGTATTCCAAAAATTTGTGCATTTTCATTATTCTTTAGTTCAAAGTATTTTTAATTTTCCTTATGAGAAAATTATATCCACAGTTTATTTAGAATGTGTTGTTCAGTTGCCAACTATTTAGAGATCTCTAGATCTCCATTAATGATTTGTGTGATTGTAATTATTCTAAATATACTGAGTTTAGCTTTATGGCTTAGAATATAATCTATCCTGGTGAATGTTCTATGTGTAATTGAGTGAAACGTGTGTTCCACTGTTGCTAGGTATAGTATTTTATAAATGTGATTAAGTTAAATTGGTTAATGGAGGCTATTTCAAGTCATCTTACCCTTACTGGGTTTCTGTCCTCTCAACTACAGAGAAAAGAGCTGAAATCTTCAGGTATAAGTGTGTTTCTCCTTTCAATACTTTCATTTTACCATTGTCCTATTTCGAGGCTCTGTTCCTACATACATAAACATGCAAAGTTGCTATATACTGTTGATGAATTTTTATCATTATGAAAAGTGCCTCTTTATCCCTATTAATATTTTTTATTGTGAACTTTACTTTCATATTAATATTGCCAGCTCTTTTCATTAGCTTTATTGAGGTGTAAATTACATAAAATAAAGCTCCACAATTTTATGTATATAAATTGATGAGTCTTGAGAAATATATGCAGTTGTGTTCCATCACAGTCATGACATAAAACATTTCCATCACTTCAAACAATGCCCCTCTGCCCCTTTGCAATCAACCCCTCCCCCAATCCTGATACCTGATATGTTTTCTCTATAGTTTTGCCTTTTCAAGAATGTCATACAGACACATCAAAACAGTATATAGTGTTTTGGGTTTGGGCTCCTTCTAAGTAATTCCATTGTGTGGAATACTACATTTTTAAAACCCACTTACCAGTACAATAACATTTGGTTTTCCTCCAGCAGGAGCCCATTGTATGAACTGCTACAAAATTTGAATAAAAATATTTGAATGGAAATGTGTTTTTATTTCCCTTGGGTAAATACCTAGTGTGGTATTGCTGGGTCATATAGTGAAACTAGTATTGGAAATCTGACAGTGGTGGTCTTGGACTGTCTTTCTTTAGTCATGAAGCTTCTAATTAGTGCTTGAATTAGTCCCAGCAGTTATGAAGTCATGACTGCATACTGAAAACTGCGCTGGGTGAAATCGAGGCCTAAACAACAAACTCTTGGTATTTGTAAGTAGACATATATATACATCCATGAGGTCGAACAGAGGTTACTTCTAGCTGGGGAAAATTAACATATCAAGTTCTGAACTTAATTCTATTGTGAGAATTAAAAAAAATGATTAATATGACGACCTTTTAAAATGTCAAATATACGAAGTTATTAACCGAGTCCAAACCATTGTTGGGAAATTCATGAGTAAGATACAAATATGCACACTCAACATTAAAATGACATAAGATGTTCAAACCCTGTATTTAATTGGCAGAAATTACTTTTTAAGGATACACATGATCACTGTCGAATGTAACCTAGGACTCTATTAATGACTTTCTTAATTATTGGTCCTTCCGCAGACCTCAGTATCCGTTTAAAGCTAAAGTGGCTAGTATTACCTGCCCACCCCAGCTCCCAGTTGTAACTGAGACAAGTCAAGGAGCACTAAGGAGCAGAGGGCACACAGGTAAGGGCCGTGACAGTCAGGCAGAATCTGACATTTAAAATCGCCCTGCCCATCTGGGCCTCCGCTGCCTTTGACAGGCGGGCGTGTCAGAGACTGAGTGTGGGGGAGAAGAGGCTGGGCTCTGCCAGGCAGCGCGCGACGACGCCCTTGCCTTGGCCTTCACAGAGCAGAACCGGAGCAGACCTATAGCTCCACTAAGCTAACGCCCGGCGCCGCTCACGGTGCATCCCGCACTGGCCCGGCAGGTGTGAGCGGAGCTCGGGCACCCGGTGCTTGCGGGTGCGCAGCCAGCGCGCGGAGGGGTTGTTGGGCGCCAAGCGGAGAGGGTGACTTGCTGACTGGGTGTGGGCCTCCCTGCCTCCCCACATTCACTCCTAGCTCTTGCCGGAGATGCTTGTGCGCTGCCCCCCTCGTCTTTAAGCTCGCGGCCCAGGGGGGCGGCGTGTGTGAGTAGCTGGGAGGGGGCCGCGAGGCACTCCGCAGAGGGCTCGCGCGGGTTTGTCCGCCGCCGTCACCTGACTTCGTCGGAGGAACCACAGCTGAGGTGGGGGCGGGGATGGGGACGCAGCGCGGAGCTCTAGAGAGACGCGGCGGCGCTGGCGGAGGAGGAGGCGGCGGCGGGCGGGTACTCGTTCCTGGGGCTACGGGCGGCGGGCGCAGGGACCTCGGAGCTAAGGGCGGCGACCGGGCCAGGGCAGGAGGCATCGCGCCCCGGGGCCCCGGGTCCGCGCACGGCCGCACACACCCACCCGAGCAGCTTTCCTCCGCGGCCCAGGCTCCGCTCATCCTGCGGCGGGCGGCGCCGCTCCAGGGGCGGGGTGAGTACCCATGGCCCCAACTCGACCCCCTCCCCTTTACCAGGGCTGCGCGGGGATCCGGACCGGATAATCCTAGGGCGCACCGAAGGGCAGTGGCCGGGTGACAGCTCTTCGGCGCGCTTGAGGGCAGGCGGGGGGCTGGGCTGTCAGCCCAGCTCTGCTCCAAAACCCAGAAGGATGAGGTGCTCAGACACTCCGGTGACTCTGCACAGCCCCCGGCGGCCCCTGCTGCGGGATATCGGGGCGAGGGAAGGGGGCCCGGGCCAAGGGCCTCGTGGGCTTTGGAGGCAGAGGCGAGGAAGGAAGGGGAGGCGAGGGCATAACATGGCGCAACGCTAGGATAATCTCCACCGCGACCGAGGGAGGACGAGCCCATTGCTGCAGCAGCTTGAAGAGGAGGAGGGAGGTGGCCAGGGCTTGGATATTTGATTCATTCTCCGAAGCCTTTAAACTGTTTAGAGGAAACGCTGCGGCAGCTGAGAGTGGGATGTGGGGCCCCCGGTGGGCGCAGCGCTCAGGGAATAACCCCAGTGCACACCGGAGCTAGTCCCGCACCTGAGGATCAGGTTGCAGGAAAAGTGCTGGTTGAGAGAGGGGCACCAAAGGAGTAAGGCGGGCTTCATTAGGGGGTGGGGAGATTGGGAACAGTGTCACGATGTTGGACTGGAGCCCGTGCTGGGGTTCCGTAAGGGCTCTACTCAAGGCTATCACCCTCTGTACCGCGTTGGATGAGCAGGCTTGGCGCGTTGCTGGCCGGGAGAGGTGCTGCCAGGGCGGGGTCGGAGGAGGAGAGAGCCTCCGTGCGGAAGGACTGAATGCAAGGCCTGAGTGCTTGGAGAGTAGGGAATGCGGGTTAAAGCGGGACTATCTCCCCTTCTTTCTTGCAGAAGACGAGGCTGTAGACACGGCTGGAGAAGATGTCGGGCCAAACGCTTACAGATCGAATCGCCGCCGCTCAGTATAGTGTGACAGGCTCTGCTGTCGCGAGAGCAGTCTGCAAAGCCACCACTCATGAAGTGATGGGCCCCAAGAAAAAGCACCTGGACTGTAAGCATCTCTTTATATAAGTGGGACATGCGCACCGCAGACGCGCCTGGGATGCCGGCTGCATGGCCTGGCTTAACTGTCGGGAATGCTGCAGCCTCGGGGCTCCCAGCCGGGTTGCCCCTGAGCTGGAAATCTCCAGCTGTGGGGATGTCGCCTTGGGTCAATCCTGAAATCTTGTCTTTTGAGCTCTGTTCTCCTGTTGACCTCCAAGGTCTTGGAGGGGAAGTTAGAGATGCTTTTCACCTCCCCTTTCTTTCTCCACAAGCCTCCCTTCTCCACGTTAAGAGAAATCAGAGGTTCCACAGTCAGAATGGGGGGGGGGGATGAATTCGTGGAAGGTCAAACTTGACCCTCTAGTTTTTTCCTAAATATATTTTGGGTAGTTCTAAAGTAGTACTATGTTTTGATCTTTTTCAACATTGCTATTGAGGTTTTGTGTGTGTGTGTGTGTGTGTGTGTGTGTGTGTGTGAGAGAGAGAGAGAGAGAGAGAGATAGAGAGAGAGAGAGAGAGAGATGTCACCACACCAAACTGAAATAAATTCAAGCAATTGAATGAGGAAAGGACACTTCAGAGATAAAGGTGATTTCATTTTACACCTGGCACATTTCTTTGTCCCTTTCTCAGAAAATGCTAGGTGGAATGATTATGCCTTGATCACAAAATGGATGTACTTTCTTGGCATTGGAGATGGTGCAATTTTGGATTAAAACACTTAATTCATCATACTTTTTTCATATTAGTTATTTAATGGAAAAAAGGCTTTATTCTCATTTGGTATCTATATATTTCTGAGAGGTTTCATTTGATTAACATTGTAAGTCTTTTGTTATTGAAGGGTAAATAGAGATACTTAAAAAACAATTTCACCTACTTTGGTAGTGAGGCTCCTCCTAAGTAAGGCTACATCAGAATGTATTTTACAGTTTCTGTTCAGTCTTTTTGACTTGCTTAGAATCTTCTGTTCTATTAGATGTTTGTTGATAAAGATTAGTGTTGGCATAAGACACCCAGGTATAGCATGCCCATTTCTCCATCTGGCTTCCTTTGCCCATTTGCTAGTTTTCTTTTGCTTCAGACCATCCCCCACTGCTTCTCTCCTGCAGCTGAGAGAATGGCATCAGTGTTAGAACTGACTCTAGCCCTTTCATCTGCAGAAGCAAAGCTTGAGGAGACTTAAAACTGGACATTGTAAGACTTGTCCAGCCTTTAGAACCTGTTGTCTCATAGTATTGGATTTTTTTTTTCTAGAAGCAATTCTGAAAGGAGAACACCATTACTCCTTTCCTGAGAGAATGTTTAACAAAACTTATTGATTACAATATCACATGTTATACACGAAGTACAGGTTAAGAGAGAGGCCACCAGGGCCAGGGCACCTCACAGGAGTGGGAATTATAAATTTATGACCACCTCATTTTGTTGCAGCATGCTGAATCATATAGCCATTTTTCCATCAGTTTCCCCAACTCTGAAAGGATGACTCATGTCTTATTGGTGTATGTCATCTAGAAAATTCTCATAATAAAAAAATAGAGGTTATGGATTTGCAAGATACTGAACTATCATAAAGATGATAGATTAGTACATTTCAGAAAACATTCACTGGTTTGAGCATTTTATTAAGACATTATTCAGATAAAGACTGACTTTTTAAAATAAAAAATTTAGTCACATTTGTCTGTTAGGCCTGGAAAAGTTAAAGTTTTTGAAAATAGGATGTTTTCCCAGTATCTTCAGCACATATTAGTAAGGGCAGTTTCAAAGATATAGAAAATAGGGGGAAGATTCCATGTTAAAAGAAAGTGGCTGAAATAGGCATTGGTATTGAATAATTAATATGATTAATCATACTAGCTAAACATTTATTGAGCAGTTACTATATGCCTACCACTGAGCTTTACATTATCAGTCTGTCACCGATTAAGTCCAGTTAGGGTGATCAACTTCTATGGCTTTTAGCTACTGCATTTAACTGCCATCTCTAGTTTATTTAGTAATATTCTCCAATGAGAAGGAAGAAAAGGTACCATATTAGCCTAACTGGTCTAATCTTAAGAACACCTATCCCCTTTGCATGACTGTAAAATTGAGCATCACAACCCACACATGTATTACAGTCTCTATGCATGAAAATTTTTAATTCTGTCACTTACAGAAATGAAGGAAAAACAAGCACTAAAAGACTATTGGTTGGTGTTTTTTTTCTTTTTGATGTTTCACTTTTCCAATAAATCATAAAGCAAATTATCTTCCATTTAAAACCAGCCTGTGGGTGAAATTTGGAAGAATGGGTATCATGCCACTAATATATCCTATTCTCAAAAGGGATGATATGGGAAACCTAAATATATGTGCATATTGTTGTTTTGTATGCATTTTAAGAGGACACCTTTGCTCAAAATTTCTTGTGAAGTTCCTTGACAAAGCAGTAGACTACCTTGGTAATTTGTGCACAGGTTTTAGGTAACATACCAGTTATAAAAGTGAATCATACATGTGAACACATGTAAAACATGTACATGCATAAGTAAATTTTGTCTGTAGTTACTGATGCATTCTTAAGTAGTTCTTGGTGTTTTAGTTTTGAAAATATTAAGTACTGGTTGGGAGGAAAATGGCGCAAAATAATAGAATTTGGGGATTTGATGTGGGATAGAAGTTTAATATAAGAAAAATTTGATCACCAAATTGACTTTCCATTAAGTTTGGTTTGATGTAAATAGTAATAATTTAGGTTATTGTTAGTTTGATTTGTACATACATTTTAGTTTAGAGTTTGGACTAGAAGATTATAAGAATACAGATATGGTTCTGTAATTTTTTTAAGTGATTTGATTTGTTAGGCTCAGAATCTTTATGAAATGTGTACTTAATATTAGTTAAAGGACTGGTATAAAAGATAATCTTTTTCACTTTAGGTTGAAAGTCTAAGAAAATTACTGGGGTAAATTATGTGATTTATAAAATGATGCTTAAATGGCATATGATTTATATGTTCAAAGAAATGGTGAACATCTTGGGGTAGAATTGTTTATGATGAAGAGGTGGAGATAAAATGAAACTGTATACATAAACTCTATATATAGTCTCACATTTTTTTTCTTTTTTTCAGTAACAGTATGTTTTTTGAAGGTAAAAAAGATTCATGAAACCATCACCATAGTCAGCAGTTATATATTAAATTTAAAGGATAAACTTTAATGATCTACATAAAGATTACATGTTTATGGTACTTTGGGATTACACAAAACCTTCATTCCAGACTTTATACTGCTATAATAATGTTGCCCTTTACACAGGAAAACTAAAGACCTAACCAATATTAGTTTCACATTAGTTTTTCTGGAACCATATGTACAGTCTCACCTTTTGTTTCCCTTGTAACTTGTTGTGCATCTTTGATAGCACATTAAACATCCAGGTCTCACCAAATATTCACCTTCTTGGTTATAGTTCTTTTCCATTTCAGTGGGTTTTCCTCCTCTGGTTTGTGGTTGATGAACTAAAGGATAGTTCCAGTAAATAATAAAGTAAAAAGATACTAGACTATCCAGGACCTACCCAAGTACTGTTCCAAGGTTAAACAAACAAACAAACAGAATTAGCCCAAAGTAACACCTGCAGAGGGAAATTTGGAAAGTTGGCAACCCTGGCATAAGATTCATTTCAGTTAATAGTGCTTGCAATTGATTCCTGTATATGCTACATTGTTAAAGTACCCTATTTAAAATCATAAAAATTAAAACTTATACATCACAATTAACATCAAATCAGACCTAATAGAAAGTCAGTTTGTTTATCAATAATCATATTTTTCCTCATATTAATCTTCCTAATACATAAATAATGTATTTATCCCACATAAAAATCAAGTGGGATATGAGTTCCAAATCTCATGTTTGAGGTACTAGAATTTCACCAATGATTCTTTTCCTCCCAAATTAAGAAAAAATAAGATTGTGTTTCTTATAAGAGTATCTGGTGAAGATAGTAAAAGATACAAACATTTTTGATTCAAGGCAATATTGGTTCCTGCTACTTCAATTTTATTCATAAAATATCTGTAAAAAAAGAAATTTTAATAGCAAAATAATGAAAATTTAAACATAAAAACTAACTTGCCTTACATAAACTTGCCTAGTACATGTAAAATATATTTTGATTCATAGAAATACATTTGCAAACTAATTTAGTAGATACCATATGTTTATATTGGGGATAATAGGGCTTTTGGGTGCTGAAAGATCAAAAAAGTAAGTAAGGCTTATTAAATAAAATTAAGTAAAACAACATATAAGACTTACTGAACACTAGGATAACTTTCAATATGAGAAGTGCACTAACTTTCTGTAAATCTATTTTACTTTGATTTCAGTTGTTCTCATGTAACTGTTTGATATTGTCTAATCACACCCTCTTACTTTCTTCTACCTAGACACACTCTGTTTCTTTTATATTTCATCAGAAAACCCAGCCTAATTATAGAGATTGTTTAGAACAGACTATATTGTTTTTTAGGCAGTCAAGAAGAGATGGAAGCAATGGGTTGTACTTTAATGTCTACCATCTATAGTAACCTCTTTGTTTACTGAAATTAGTGTTATATCCTATCTGTCCTGTAGGTGATGGCTTCTTATCTCAAATTAATTCAGGTAAGGATAGAAGCAACAGATAACAGTTATAACGTTTTACAAGGAAAATACAAAAAAAGTGAGATTACCAAGAAAAACAGTATTAGTGATCTGTTGTGTAAATGCACCTCATTAATGATAAAGCCTTTACTCAAACAGATGTAAGCCAGGTTTAAAATGGACAATGTATTAAAAAGGAGAAGAAGAGATGGAAGAGCAAACCCTGTTGGGTATCCTCTTGCCCTGCAGGGGTTCTGTTTCTATGCACACTTGAATAAATCTTACTCTTATACTCACTCATCCTGGTCTCTGGATTAAAAGAGAGAGGGGGGGAAATATACTTCACTTAATCTGGTTATCATTTATA